GGGAGAAGCCGTGTGAGAGAAGAGGTGTGTGAGAAGGGAGAAGCCGTGTGAGAGAAGAGGTGTGTGAGAAGGGAGAAGCCGTGTGAGAAGACACCTAGACAAAGAGGAAGAAGCCGTGTATCAAAAGAAATGAGGCAGAAAGGAGAAGCTGTGTGTGAGAAAAGGTGTGGGATATATGCAGTAGTCTTACATTGTATCGGGGCAGGTCAGGAAGCATGAAAATAAATGTGCTGCTTAAGCGGTCGACGCATTTCCAGTCATTTCACTGCATCATGTCTAATTGTACCTTGTGCTACTCTTCGCGGCACTACATTCACATGTAATGTGGGGCTAGCCTTTAACAAAACCAGTGCATCTCTGTTCAAACCAATGAGAACTCATCATACCTAGTAAGGCCCATGTGAACAGTTCACAACAGACACTTATGACCTGATCGGTTAAGACCACCTCGCCTAGGAATGGTGCGGTTAGCTCTAAAAATTGTCTTGTGGGCTCATTCTGTTCAGAATCCACTGAAAAGCTGCTAATTCTCAGTTTGCTAAAAGTTTAGTGTTGTTCTACATCGTTAACTTAAGAAAGAAGGAAGTTTGTTATGCAGAACATATTCAGTTAAACCGACGTCCTGTCGCCTTTATCTAATTGAGATAACATGCCCAACGATTGTTTTTTCAGAGGCGATGTTTTTTCGTTTATCAGAAGCTCCATAAAGCGGGAACCATTGTATTCAGTTTCATCTTGTTTATTTGTGAAACTTGATCATCAGAGTTTAGATAAGCTGATATACAATTTGCATATATATCAACATTCTAGGTACGCTGATTATGGCTACAAACGAACTCCGAAGAAAAGCGAAGAAGGCTGGAGTGAGCTTCGCCAACTATGGTACGTGCCTGGAGCTATTAAAGGCATAGCCTGTTATGTTCATTATTGTGTAACTAAAAAAACCAAATTACGCTAATTAAGTTTTCAGTAATTAAAATTAAGATTGAAAATTTTGATTTAAATCTGTAATGGTCTTGTCCAATTTACACAAAAACTCGTGGCATGCGGCGTCAACGCACGAGAGTGGTCGCCTCATGGCTTGTCAGGGTTCTGGCGAAAATTCGTTTGGAATCCTGTATTATGAAGGATTTTCAACCCTTCACCAAGCATGCCCTCTTGTTTTCGTGGCGGTCGGTGAATCTGCAGCCAGGGAAAACATTTCGACATCTTGCGCTGCGAACTTTTTATTGATGCCTCTTGAAACTACCGCGCTCTTGTTCTGCGTCAGTGATCCACGGGCGAGGAAAATCTCGGCATATCACATTTGGAAATGTTTTTCGTCACCCCAGAAATGACACGCTCTCTTGTCTTCCGTCAGTGATCCGTGGCGACAGAAAAATTGCATTGCGGAGCGATGCCTCTCCCCTTTCTTTTTCTCCATCAGCAATCCTCTGCGAAACGTAAATCTCTCGTGCAGCCCCACCCACCCCACCCCCAACCACCACCACGACGCTGAAACGAATGCTCTCTTGTCTTTGCGTCGTCGTCGTCAGTGATGCGCGGCGAGGACCCGAACGTGAACGTCGTGCTGACCGAGGACACCGCGGCGGTGGCCGGCATCGGCATCGCGGCCGCCTGCATGGGGCTGACCGTCTACACGGGAAGCCCGACCCCCGACGCGATCGGCTCACTCGTCATCGGCGGCGTGCTCGGCATGGTTGCCGGATTCATCATCTACACAGTATGTATGTATGTATGTATGTATGTATGTATATATGTGTGTATCGAAATGATTTATTGATTTGTATTTGATGTATATTCACGCACGTATGGATCGTGATTGTAGTAGTAAATTGCTATAGACATTGCGCAGTCACACGAGCTACGCGTGTCAATCATTGTAACCAACGCCCACAATAATTATTAATAATTAATAATTATTGACTTCTCCGGCTAAGGTGATTGACAGCTAGCTCTAGCCAACCACTGTTGCGATAAGGGCGTTCTGTAATCGCTGCTTAGTAACGAAACATCGCAAAGTCGAAACTTTAGCGTGAAGAAATCTGATAACCTAGCTCTAGCTTGATCGACCTAGCAACAACATCGAATAAGCAATTTTTTTTAGAATGCTATTACTGCAGTCACTAAACTAATTGCTAAAAGCTAACCACTACTGCGCAATCTCCTACTCGTGCTATTGCTGCTGCTGGTGGGGATGATGCAGCAGGCAGTGGAGGGGGGCCTGAGGGAGCGGGGGGGAGCTTGGCTAGTAGGAGACTGAGAGTGGCTGGTAAGGGAGGTTGTGGCTGGGAAGAGTGGGGACTGTGAATGTGTGGGAGGGATCCTGACTGTTGGAGAAGGGTGTCTGAGCTTCAGGTAAGCGAGTGTCACAGGGAGAGGAGCGGTAAGTAAGTAAGTAAAGTAGTAACAGCAGTCGTAGCAGCAGAAACTAAGGAAACAAGCAAGACACAAGGAGCTCCATGCGGACTAAGAAGTGCTGAATTTTTATTTACAATTGACATTTGCTTAATTTATCCCATTAAATACTTAATTCCTGTGACGTTTGCCGTATTCATTTGCAGATCCATCGATCTGGGTCGTCAGGATAAGATATGCAAAGAACTAGAGAGCGACGTTGTCATTAGGTGAGTGTGTGTCACATTTATTTTGGCAGAGCTACATTGAACGAGACAGCTCACAATAAATCGCAATATATCTGTAAATATAATTTGGAAAGGTTCTTCAGAAATAGAAACAACTGCTGTAAATACAGCAGGAACTAGTCTAGAAAGTCTAGTTTGTTTCCTCCACATGCATGTGTGACCACTAATTTAACTGTACCTTCTCCCGTGTGATGTGCCATATTCGTATTTCTTTCAACAATTTCAATAAAATTTCAATGAATTATTACAGAGCGATCCATGATGTTAAGGCAACTGATATGGGCGCCAGTCAGGTTCGTTTTAAGGCCGAAGTGGATTTCGATGGCCACGCAATCACTCAGTCTTACCTCGACCGGATAGACCTGGAGGATATGCTGAAGGTATTTGATTATGTGGTATCTTGCTATAGGATGTTGTTCCATTTTGTATAAGTAGTATAGTGAAACGGAATGCAAAGGATGTAGCACAATAGACTTGTGATTATTATTATTACTATTATTATTATCAGGAGTGAATAATAATAGTGTAGCGTTTTGTGTCTCTCCGCGACACCCGATGGCGCCACCAGTCGACACGTAGTGACTAGCAATAACCTTAGATAAGAACACTCACCCTGTAGATCCGGATGCGTTGAAATGGCCGTATCGTCGTCACCCGGACTCTGCTAGCCACCAGAGCGCCAGAGCGCTCACTCCGTAGTACCCAACCTGGCGTTCGTTTCGGTTCCGGTGCGATAGCGTGGTTAGTCAACAATGCCATACCACAAACATGACAACGGGGCACCCCACCCCGCTCTGCTGGCCTTACGTTACGTCTTATAATAAATGTCAACCCGGTGTATGAACAAAGGCTATACAGATCAACGACAATATCATCTATCCACAACAACAATTGATGAGCAGGCAAAACACCACGAAAACGCACACTAATAAACAGCAGACATCACAAATAATTATACAGTCACAAACACGGAACATTAACCCATACCCTGCCTGTGGTTCTCAGTGAGCTACCTCACAATTACCTAGCTGGGAACCGTGGTGACCGGTGCCACCGCCACAATAGATTATTCTATATATCTATATATCTATTATTATTCACTCCTGTTATATCATCATCATCATCATCATCATCATCATCATCATCATCATCATCATCATTATCATCATCATCATCATCATCATCATTATCATCATCATCATCATCATCATCATCATCATCATCATCATCATCATCATTATTGTTGTTATTATAATTTGTTACAATTTTCATGATAGTTCTGGTTTTAGTTGGTAAATTATGATATGGATGTCATTGCATCTCATTAAGTCGATGTTAAACTTGTACTTGGTTGCTTCCCTATATGATGCTGGCAGGGAAGGTTGCACTGGTGTGTCGAATGTCAAATATTGAATTGTATATTTTGCAGGAATTACAAAAGATAACGACAATAGATAAACTGGAAGCATTCATGACCAAACACGGAGAGAACATAATAGACAGGCTGGGAATGGAGATCGATCGAATAGAGGCAGAGCTTAAGGTATGTGTGACCGTTTGCGTCGCAAAGGCTCTGTTCATTGCACCACTAATTCCAAGCTGTCTATTTATTTGTAAGAAAATCGGGGCCAAAATCAACAAATTCTACACTAGAGTGCATATCATCTATGATGTGTTTGCATTTTGCTTCCAGAAACGACATCCCGAAGTTAGACACGTCGATTTGGAGGTGCTTTGATGTGGTAAACACGGCAACAGTTACCGAGAATGCTGTCCTTCTAAATTACTTTGCCAGAACTGTTAGTGAGATAGAGCAGTTTGTTACATAGGATATAATTTTCTCCTAGGACATTAAAACTTAGTTTGATACTAGTGAATAGTATCGAGGTGAGCAATGAAGGTTATTTCATATGCTTCAGCATGGTTGCATACTGTTATGTGCAGGTGAATGTGTTATGAGCTTTTTACTGTCTACGGCAGGATCGGGGTGGGTGGTCAACTACGTGCCACTTGTGTGCGTGTGTGTGTGTGTGCGTGTGTGTGCGTGTGTGTGTGTGAGGAGGCCAGCTATTTGATAGGCAGAACCACCAGTAACTTTAATAAATTTATTACGAAAGCATAGTGGAAGCAAAGTGGGTTCTCGCTGGAATCTCATGCCATCGGTCATGGACTTGATAGCCTTACAAGTTTGCGGATGCGTTCACTAACACGTGCTTTCTTAGCAACAGGGTACGTTTAGTCGCAGTCGTTTCTGGGCATAGTTTTTAAGCAAGCAGTAGCAAGTTCTAGCAAAAAGTTTCCAGTGGTTTTGCTCATATGATGTCTGTTCCATTGGCTGTTATACTGTGATGTACTCTAACACGTGTCCTCATTGATGTTGCTTGAGTCATGATGTAGAGAGATACGTACTGTAATCAATTTAGTGCTAGCAGTCACCTACATAACGGCCACCTGTCTATAAAGGACAATTGTTATTTCCCTTAAGTGGCCTGAGGTTTGAATGTATAATAATTCTACCATAATAACTAAGTAAAATATGTCACTTCTGTCTCTCTAAGTTTCTATATAATTTTTCATTATAACGTGTTACACTGTGATTAAAAGATGAGTGTTCCCTATGATGTCAGCAATGGTGATTTTTATATTTGGTGAATTGTAATGAATCAATAAATTAAAATAATTTAATATAATCACTAAATGCCAGTTTTTCTCTATTCTGCAAGTTCATTAAAGATATTCAACCAAAGTGTTTGTTTTACATGTTGTAATAGGCCCCTAGTGTATCCTATTATTTGCCCGTGATAATATCAACCCACACATACATGAACTAACACTCAACATCATGCTATTCGAACATTTATAATGTGCAGTGAACACTAAGAATGTTCATTACGATCCATTATTGTATTGACAGATTGCAAGCAAAATAAATATATTTTACTAGATTTCTAAACCCATTACAATGCGTTTTATAGCAGATATTATATATCATATTTTATTTATATATTAAACAAATCTACAAAAACATATTTATATAGTCATCGAGTATGTGCCATACAACTAATATCAACATAACAATTATTTTTATTACCAGTAAATGTGTTAGCATGATCGAGCTTTTTTACTCACCACCTAAACCCTAGTTTTTGATGGACGTATGAATATCAGCTGCAATGCAAACCCACACCCGCACACGTTGAAGTTTATAGTATTTAGATCACACATCTGATACTGGTCTGGAGAAAGCATACGTTTCCTCTATGACTAGTCTGATCTCAACTAATCCATCCTGTGCCAGCCATGAGAAAATTACGATAAAATATATATATACTTGACAGTCGTACACCACGCATGCATTCGCTAGAAAACCTGTCAGTGTAAATAGCGTTTGTAAGGTAGAGTTGACAATGCTAATAAGCCACGAGACATCTCTGACAACACAATAATACAAGGAGGAAATTTAGCAAAATTTTTTTAATTTAAATTAGGTATCATACAAAAATCTTGCTCGCGGCTTGCCAATGCAGACGCCGCCAATGGAACGTATTACTTGTAATGCGAGTACCAGGGCAATAGATCAATAGCTAATTAATATTGAAAATGCGATTAGATGTGACATGCATAACATGATTTAAATTTGCCACCTAATTTCATATAATCTTATGGACAATGATGCACACCAGACCATGATTTTCAAATGGGCACCAAGTAAACTACGTTGACCAACCACTTTAATACTTTCTATTCAAATCGTCACCAATACAATTTTAGTGGGAATCAATTTCTCTAAAGAATAACACACATACCTATGTTATATTTAATAACAAGGAACTAGGTAGGGTATGATCGCCAGCTAGAATATATACGATTTTCTTAAAAAACATCAATAAATAGAAGGTTTGCTAAAATCCCTGAGGAATAACATATCTAGCTAATATTTCCGATCCAGTGGAAGTGATGCAAGTGTAAATGAAATTATATGGAAGATGGCCAAATATGGAGCACTGGCCGCGCATAGAAGAGAAGTGCGCGCGGCAGAGGTAAAAGAAAAGATAACATGGTGGATCCGTGCGCCATAATGAAAGCCAGCGCACGGATCCAAAGAAAAGACTAGGTGACAGAAAGTGTTTCCCCTCAGGGTGGCATGCACGAACCGCCGCAGTATATATATAGTCTATTTCACGCAGCTGTCCCTTATTTCCCAGTCCGCTGCACCTTGATGAACAGTACTAGTAGAGTCTACTAAGCATTTGCACTCGTTAACGAAGCCTGCCAAAGGCCGTGTCACAGACGGGGTGGTGCCCGTGCATGGTTAATTCGTCAGTGATAACACTGATATACACATTGGCTCCGGAGTGCTGGACTGTACTGGACCAGTTTAGTAATATATTATACAAGTCCATAGAAAGAAATGTAAACATGTACAGATCTGCCTGGAAGCTAAATAAGAAATTGAATGCTGGTATAGTTTCTAAACAATGTCACCCACACGTGATTGTAATCCACTGCAAATAGCGTGCCTAGCGCAACATTTTGAGCAGGTAAATAGGTAGATTACGTTTACTGAAAAGCTCCTGAATACTTTGTAAGAACGTTCGTGAGATTCACCGCATACTTCGACAACACGTAACCACAGCCGTGTTGTACTACACTACACATCATCACGACAGACATAATATTGAAAGGGTGTTTACATCAATCGCCACTTAAAATTAAACCACCTACTACTATTCACTTATTGCGTGCAGTACGCCTACCATCATTGCAACAATAAAATCAATAGAAGGAAATGACCAGGGTCTATATATGGCTGAGGTTGAATGGCGTAATTAGGGTAGTAGGGGTGGAGACAATTAAGGATGGGGTTGACGATTTATAATGTAAACTAGCTGCCGTATCAACTATTTCCACCTTTAATACATAACATACATGCCTCTAGTCACCCATATAATGCTAATGCTAATACTCAACTTTAATCAGACAACTTCATCCTTTTACAAGAATAAATATTATAAAGCACACGATGAGCAACTTCTTCAGAAATATGTTCATTTTGTAAGACAAAACAAAAATTACTCTTTTACCTCCCTCACAGCATACATCACTGACTTAGACCATGAGTATGCACTAGTAGTAGGTAGATAATCGGAACTAATAAAAGCTTCTGACGTGCATATAATATAGCGTGTGGACATACTATTTCCCGTGGACACATTTTTTCGAGTAATACTGTATAAAGTATGTGCATATTCTGTAAGATGTGCACGTATACTATGAGCCCTATGGTGTGATCTACAAGCTGTGACTACTTCACTGCACTATAAACATTTGCACAAAGATGCCACATCTTTGAACACCATCGCATGGATATAATAACCCTACCGAGAATTTCAATCAACGGGCGGGCCACTGATGTACGAAAAATAGTTCCGCCTCATTCGCAGCGTCCGGAATATACATTCGTGTCCAGCGTATCAAAAAAATACGTTGACAAAGTTAGCGAAACATTACGTCGGCATGACGCATATATCATCACATCGGTAGGACTACGACAAACCTACGACGGTGACCTAGGGTAGTGGTCACGCGCTGTAAAACTCAGCAGCAAGAGGCGTCATCGTCGTGAACATGCCTACGGGGAAGGCATGCACTTGAGCCGCTCGAATGCAGCCTTCTCGAGTTCCTCGCGGTGGGACGGATGCGCAATGCGGATGAGCTCGTACGCGCGCTGACGCAAGTTTTTGCCGAACACGTGTGCGATGCCGTACTCGGTGACGATGTAGTGCACGTGGCCACGCGTCGTCACCACGCCCGCACCTGGTGGTGTGACGTAGGGAATTAATAACCGACTCTCTTATTATATTTTATATAATAACTTCCTATATAATATTATTTATATTTTTTAATTTTTTCTAATTATTATTTTCATTTGCTATTTATTATTAATTATTTAAATTAATGAGGGATTTTAATCACATTTCGGGGCGGAGTGCAATAGACGGCGCAGCGCACGCAATACGCAACACTAGCTTTCGTTTCCTGCACACACCTGCATCTCTAACAATTGTACATGTCTTCTAGTTACATCCACCGATAGAACTTTCATTACGATGAAAGTAATTACAACTCGGGTGGAAGTTGAAGAAATTATTTGACGTAGCCAAAGTATCTTTACATTCGCTGCTCTCACACTAATAACTGCCTCATCGGCAGTTGTTGAAAATCCAAAGTCAATGAACATTCATTGATCACTCATCGAACATTCATTGATCACTCAGCGTACCTGGTTTGAGTGTAGCAACGATCTTACTCGCTCCTTTTGCCGTTGTCGAGGGCATGGCGATGATAGGTTTGCCAAGACCGTCGTGCCCAAGAGCAGCACCTCTGATGAAATCCACCTGCCCGCCAACACCTGCAAATGAAAGAGTGAGATCGCATGCTCTTACACTGATCTTGTGCTGGTCTGTCGCCCGCACCCTGCATCGACCTCACAAAACAGTAAGAAATTAATGATTATGTTAATCACATTCATTAATTCTTATTATTAATTACGACACATTATACCAGTTATTGGTATTTCAATCATGGCATGTCAATACATATATATATATACATATATATACATATACACACACACACATATATATATATATATATATATGATAGGGATCATCATGACATGAGTGACTTGATAGAAAACGTCAGCGTGACCGATAGCAAATCTTCAAACAAGAAACAGTCGGTAAAAAACATTCGCAGAACGATTCACGACCACCCGTTTACGATCGGGGCGAAGTGTTCGGCGGATAAGCTAGAGAACGAGCTCATATAGAGGATCGTCGCTTCAATGCCAATGCATGCAGGTCACCCTCCCCCCACCCCCACCCTCCCCGAGGGGATGAGCGAGAGCCTCACCAGAGTACATCCTCTCTCCGATGGAGTCGGATACGACCTGTCCAGTGAAGTCCACCTCGATACACGAGTTGATCGCCGTCACCTTAGGGTTCTGCATGATCGTGGCCGTGTGGTTGACATAGGCTACGTCTAGCAGCGCTGCAAGCACAGTGAGTAGTGTGAGTACAGACACAGGCTGAGGCGCGTGACACACTACTGGCTCATCAATCGTAGCAGGGGACTTTAACGCGCGTCAGGTCCAACGTACCTTCGAAACCGAAGCTAACTGGCGACATCCCATAAATCCCCCGTCCAAAGGCGGAATTTGCATGAATCGCGGAAAACGCAGTTTTG